CGTTCGTCGGTGGGAGTTGTGTAAGTCGGTCTGTGTAAAAGCGGTCGTTGCATACCGGACAATTTTTAGTGTCTCAAAAACTACCCTTTTTTTTCGTTTCTGGCGTTTTACAATGTTGCAAGCAAGAAGAGGGGGAAGAAGGAAACCATGGACATGGTGCAACAAACGGCCCTGGTTAAACAAGTCGAAAACAAGCGCCGGGCCACACCCACCCAGGCGAACGCTAAAAACAAATGCGCCAAAAAAAAAATTAAAATAAAAAATTCGCTGCATGAACCCTTTAAAGCAGCACCAGATGGGAACCCACGGGCTGAAGAGGACAAGAGGGGCGGACCGGGACGGTCGCAGGACGAATAACGGTGACGGAACAAGTTTTCCAGCCCGACCAAACGGCCCGCACCTTTGGGCACCCTCCGATTTGGGGTCCCCAGAAAAAAAGAAGAGAGGTACCGACCTAGGTGATGCGTTGTCAAGATGAGCACCAGAACATGTCCCGAGAACAGCCAACCTGGCTGTGTGTGCACTCGACCTTGCATATATTATATATTGTTCTGGGGGCGCACACACACACACACAGAACACAGGCACGGCATAGGTACGCATGTTTTACTTGCATCGCAGAGACATCAGAGAGGCCCGCGAGACTGCAGCCTAGATTGAGCCATTGCCTCCAACTCGAACGAACTCGTGGCAAACAGCTCGACTCGGAAATCTTGTCTCTCTTCTCCTAGCCCCAATTCGACGACTTTCTCTCCTCATCTACATGTAAAGCATTCAGTTTGCTACGCCGCACCGCAACAAAGATGCACTACTCAGAATCCGACACGGACATGCCCGCAAACAAGGCCGACTCCCTGACAATATCCCGCGGCGTCCCGTCGTGTATGATTTCTCCCTTTTCCAGCACAATGATGCGGTCCGACCGGAGCGCCCAAGAGAGCCTATGGCAGACGGAAATGACCGTCTTGTCGCGAAACTTGTCTTCTATCAGCGTCTCCATCTTGCGCTGCGCTTCATCGTCAAGACTATTCCCCGACTGTTAGCTTGCCGACATACGGGGGCTGGCAAAAAAAAAAGAAGAAAAAAAGAGGAATAATCAAGCACGCCACACGTACCTGCTCGTGGCCTCGTCAAGGAGCAGTATGCCGCCTTCCCTGGCCGACCCGTAGAGCAGCACCTTTGCCAGGGCGACAAACTGTGCCTCGCCATGCGACAGTTGCCGGCCTCCCGCGCCGCCACGAGCATGCAGCCCGCCGCTTTCCTCGATGAGCGTCTCGAGGCCGCATTCCGCCGCGACGCCGCGCACCTGCTCGTCCGTGAATCGTGCTTCCGGGTCCATCTGCTCGCGCAGCATGGCCGTCATCGACTCGTCCAGCGTGTCCTGCGACACCACGAGGAGCCCGCGTCGCAGAGCCCCGAGCGGCAGCTGCGCGTGGTCCCGCCCGCCGATGGAGACGGACCCGCGCGGCAGCTCGACCATGCGAAGCAGCGCGAGGAGCAAAGTCGACTTGCCGGAACCTGTGCGCCCGCACACGCTAACCTTCTGCCCGGCCGCGATGTCGACGCTGACGCCGCGCAGGCTCCATGCTGCGTCTGGAGGGGAAGAAGAAGAAGAAGAGGATGAGGAAGCAGGCTGCTGAGACTGGTATCTGGCCCAGAGATTGTGCAGCCGCACGCTCCCGTCCGTGGGCCACCACGACGAGGGTTCTCCCCCGGCCCTATCGCCGTTGTCCTCGCTGTTGTCCTCGCTCGGCGTGGCCGCGCTGAAAATGGCTGTCCTCGCAATAGCACCCAACGATGTTTCCAGTGAGGTGTACGCGAGGACGAGCTGCGTCAACGTCTCGCCTAGGGTAGTGGCGTTCAGAAAGGCAACGCCAACAGCGCCAATGCTAACCTTGCCTCGCAGCGCGACGGCGATACCAGCAACTAGCACAACAAGACCCATAACCACAAGGTTAAGCACGAGCTGTAGCCAGCGCTGCACGCAGAATAAGAGATAGATGGGCTCCTGCGAGACGTCGAGATTCTGCATAAAGCTGCGGCGTAGGTGTGGCTGCCAGCCATGTGCGCGAAGCGTTGACGGGCCGGCGCCGGCCGCCACATCGGCAACAAGGCTGTGCAGGATAGCCTTGGCCTCTAACTCAAGGATACGGAGCTGTTTAGAGGTGCGGAGGTAAAAGCTTTGCACCATATACAGCACGCCTGCGATAGCAGGCAAGGTGACCAAAGCCTGCGCGCTGGCGACGGCAATAAGGACGACCTGGATAACAGCAACATAAAGCTCCGAGACAGTGTTAAAAAGGTCAAAGGGTAAGAGAGAGTCAATCAACATAAGATCCTGGTTAAAGCGGTTCAGAAGGCTTCCAGTGTCAACAGCGCTGATGTAGGAAAATGGCGCGTGAAGGATAGTCTTGAGGAGGTCGTCGTGGATAGAGATGCCAACAGCGGGGACAATAGTGTAAAACACGTGCCTGCTGAAAACATTAGCGATAAGGTCTTCTTCTATAGACTTGGGAGTTTTGTTAAGAACAGCGTACCGCAGCCAAAGTGTGAGCAAGACGAGAGGAATGCACTGTAGGCCAGCATACACGCCGATCCAGTAGCCAGTCGAGTGTCTACTACTGCTCGCAGAAGTGTCATCTGACCACCACTGAATCCAAATATCTGGAAAAATGAGTTAGTCTAGGGAGAAGTAGTAGTAGACTTTTGCTTGCCTTACCGGGAAACTTGAGCGCCACCGCAAACAGACTACCCAGGAGCAGAAACACGATGGCGTTGCCTAGCCCCATAGAGCGCAGGTACATCTTGTAGACATCCATGTCCTTGACTGCGGGGTCTGTTGCCGGTGTAGGAGTAGAGCTAGAGGAGGAAGAGCCTTGAATATCGTCCGATGTGGAGGCTTCTTCCTTTGGTGCCTCGTCAGACGAGCCGCTGTTGGTCGGTGAGGCTTCAGCTGGCGGCACGTCTGTCTTGGGGCGTTGAATCAATGTGCCTGTTGCGTCAATCTCGTACACCTCGTCCGCCATGTTGGCAATATATTCTTTACACCTTGTTAGAAGCATATTTTCTCAATCACCATTAGGTACATACCGTCGTGGGTGGTAAAGATGACGGTACTCTGGTCTGGAGAGTCGCACTTGCGTAACACGCTCTCTGCAACGTGCAGCTTCGTACGGCGGTCCAGGGCACTAAACACGTCGTCTAGAAGTAGAATGTCTCTCCCGAGAGAGGCTGCTCGTGCGATAGCCTACAGCACCTATTAGAACGTTTTTCAGCAGGGAAAGAAAAAAACACGAGTGGCCAAACTTGCCAGTCTCTGTCGCTGTCCGCCGCTGAGCCTGACGCCTTGGCTGCCGATAGTGCCTGTCTTGTAGTCGCGCAGGCCTTGAATGTCCTTGAGGGCGTACTTTTGCACCATCTGATCTAGAAAGGCAGGGCTCTTTGACGCGCTGCTACGACCCGTCCAGTTCTCCTCAGCCGAGGCATTCTCCAGCCAGGGCGTCTGGCTGCAGTAGGCAAACGACACGTGCTCGCCGACGGCCACCTCACCCGACATTTCGGCCGCCTCACCTAGCAGGCCTTTAAGCAAGAGGGACTTGCCAGAGCCAACGCGCCCGAGTATGGCGATGTGCAGGCCGCGCTTCACGTCGAGGTTGATGCCGTACAGGATGGGCTTTCCCGTGAGCCAGCCGAGCGACGCGTTTCTTAGCGATAATATGACCTGGTCGGCGGTGGCGGCAGCGTCTGGTAGACCTCTCGCGGGGGGCAGTCTGGTCCTTTTGTCGCTCTGCTCCTCAAGCTCCAGAAAAGCCTGGATGCGCGCCATGCAGCCGTGCGCCGCGCCGAGCACGGGAATGGCCTGACAGAGGTGCATCACAGGCGTCGCGAGCAGGTTAATAAGGGAAAGCGATGTGAAAAGCCTCGAGACATCTAGACCGTGGTTGCCGCCGGCAATAGCGATGCACACGCCGAAAACGAGGGGCGGCGATAGGGTGACAGTACTGTATGCTACTCAAAGGCTCGTCATTTAGAAGCTTTAGACACAGTTCTATAGAGAGCACTTACAGATGGCAGTAGTAAAGATGCGTAGCCGGCGAAAGGGCCAAGAAATTGCAAGCTCGGCCCGGCGCAGCGTGGAGATGGTACTCGCGACACGGTCGCTCGCCGATAGCATCTTAACGGCCTTGAGAGAGGTCAGCATACGCTTCGTCAGCGCCAGCCTCTGCTCCACGGCCGCGAGCCACTGCTGCTGCAGGCTACTGAGCTTCTTGGACAGGCTTCCGCAAGCAACCGACGACACTAGAGAAAGTCTTGCGTGTCAGCTTTCGTTCTTGCAGAGCACCATTTGCTGGTGCCACCTACCTATCGTCACTGCCAGCATGGCAAAGCTCGCCACGCCCGTCTTCCGGTATAGCAGCCATGTCGCGATGGCCGTGTCGAGCACGCCAGCCCACAGCTCGTGAAAGTAGTTCATAGCCGTCATGACACGCTGGGTGTCGCTGAACATGAGCGTTACGACCTGCGCCTCCGTGGCCGGGCTCTCAGCAAGGCGCAGCAGCTTATCAAAGAGGACAATAACAAGACCGCCGCGAATCATCGTGACGGAGCGGTTGACTTGGTGCCAGTACCAGCTGTAAGAAGCCTGGAGCAAAAGCCTGGTCAATGTGGGAGTACCTCGGGCGCGATAAAATTAGCACTTACGGCGATGCCAGAGTATACCAAAAAGGTGGCGGCAATTAACCCATATCCCTGATTCGCAGCGTCGTGGTCGTCTCTGGTCAGCCAGTTTAGCATTGCGTCGATAAGGAATGGTTGCAAAAAGGTAAAGAGAGAGACAAAAAGCCGAGGCAGGATAGGATAGAGCATATCATGGCCGACGCATTTCAAAGCAAGGGTGCTCAGCCCGCCTTTTACAAGTCCAGCTGGAAATTGTGTATTAGTAACGGCCGCTGCTGTTTTGAGAATTGTTGCAACGTGCCTTGGACTCTTTGTGGAATAGGGGTAAATATTTCCGTCAGGTACGCGGCATTCAACTTGGCATCAATCGGGCCCAAGCTTCGTCCTCTAAGCGACCCTCGGAATCCAAGCATGAGTAGCGGATTGACCCAGTGAAAGACGGTTCGGCTGAGAGGGCCCGCGAGCTTCTCGGGGCTCGCCTCTGCAGACGATGTCGCCGCGAGGTCGTTCTTCTTGCTGCGGCTTTCGAGCACGAGCAGCAGCAGCCTCAGAGCAACACCGGCAGAGAGCGTAGCTGCGGGAAGGACCTGTCCCTTGAGAAATAGAGTGCGCACTCTCGCAATGTCTAGAAGCGCCGTACAGGCAACGAAGAGGATGAGTGGCGTGGACGGGGCGAGGGCTCGGGTCTGCTCCAAGGAGGCCAGAACCACCAGTAGCATGCTCGATATTAGCGCCAGGGCCGCAGCAGAAGCCCCGGCAGGCGTGGCGACAGGATTGCGAGCAACAGCAGCTAGCACGATGCAGTACGTGGCGATCAACGCTGTGTGGGCAGCCTGTGTTGTCGGTGAGTATTGGGGTTGTGTATTGGGGTTGCTAAGATGCTGCGCGTGCTTCGACACACCCGCACAGATACGCACTTACAATCGTGATGCCGTACCATTTCGTACGGAGAGCAACGGGCTTCTTGTTGGCGATCAGGGCAATCAGGACGCATGCGACTGGGATAAAGACGACAGAAGGGACCAGCGACAGGACTGTATCCTCAAAGAAGAGGGTAAAGTCGAAGCCCCTGTGGCAAGAGTTGATAGCCGGACCAAAGTTCAAGTCGTCGGGGGAACCACATGTGTGATTCATTGTGGCCTTGCTGGCAGACTGCAAGCCCAGTCGTGATGGACTGTAGTCAATCAACAAGGTAGGCTTGTATATGACGAAAGGACGTTGTAGAAAGAGTTTGGCTCGCGCGATTCCGCGGGAGTTGAGGCAGCTAATGCAGTTGGTGCAGTTGATGCCGTTGGTGCAGTTGGTGCAGTTGAAGTAGTTACAGGGTTCCATCTACCCCAACAGACTCGCCGCGGGATCCCCATCGTCGGTAAGCTTGCCGGGTTCTCCATTCATCATGTCAGTAAAACCATCAAGGGCCTCGAGTCTGCCGACCCACCTGCCAAGGGAGGCAATGGCAAACAAGGCTCGGAAAACATGGCAAGTTTGGACGAAATTGCACCTTGAGAGGTCCTGATCCTAGTTCTGTTCGAAATATGGCGACTTGGGCGGCCGATGTCGCAAACGTTTGCGAGCACGATGGAGGCCTGGGATCATCTTTAACAAAGTACCTTTTACAAAGTACCATCGTCAGTCAGTCCGTCCTTGATTTCTTGCTCCCCCTTTTTTGGCGAGTCCCTATTGGGAGAATCATGAGAGCCCATGCTTTAAACAGGTTCACAGACTCGGCATGCGCACTTGTTGCCATCATGATTGGCCGTTTGCCCTTTCCTACCAGTTCATCAATTTGCCCCTCCCCCGCCTGGTACGCTGCCGGCCGGTGACGTCGTGTTGCCAGTTTTGATATATGGACCCCCCCCCCCCCCTTCTAGTGCTGTATGCGTACGGCAGCGGCAGCAGAATGAACCCGACAAACGGCCTGTTTCTTGTGACATAATCATCAAAATCGTGCTAGTTTGTATTCGCTTTGAACACGAACAAAACATGCAAAACAGATTCTGCATGTCGCACAGCATACTTCCTTCACAATATGAACCTGTTGCATGTGTGGGGTGCAGTGAGGCTGTCCAAGCCCGCCATGTCCGTGTAAGCCTCCATTCTTGATACCGAGCAGTGTACCAAGCAGAAGCGGGACGGAAAGCGATGCATGTTGTGCCAGCCAAGCAAGCATGTCCTACTTAGTCTTATTATTCAGGTTACCAAGTTACTTTCTGCGGTGCATTTTTCCGTGCCAATCCCCCATGTGTACTCGCACACCACACACACACCCAGAGACGCCTCACTAGCAACTTGGCCACAACTGAATTAGGTATTAGTTGGCGTTTGCTAAAATACCCGCCTTTTGCACACCGCTCCCAAGGACCCTGGGGAATCAGTCCTCAACAACGGAGAAAGGAGTGACAAACTAGCCTCGAGGGGCTGGTGAAACCTTGGGCGACCATCATGGGGTTGCATCCGGCACTCTCCATTCCATGTGTTTTTTTTTTTTTTGGAAAAACTACAAAGCATGGAAAGTAAGATAGTCCACTCTGTGCGAGCGGACCATGCTCACTATCAAGACGTCGCGGAGAGGGCCATGCTGGACAAAGGCAATCACAGTGGCTTGGGGACATGCAAATGCATGACAAGACTACTTGCATTGGACCAGTTCATCGAGCAGCCAAGGAAAAAGAGACATGAGCTGCATTGGAGGGGGCCCGCGGCCCTTGCCTTGTCCAGGTCAGCCAGAAACAAAAGAGGCATGTGTGCGCTGCTTTTACCTCTTCGACTGGGGGCCTAGCCAACGCCACACACACACACACACAGGCAAGGACAGCACAGCATTGTCCCATCAGCTACCCATTTCCAACAAGTTGTACCAAGAACTGCGTTATGATGGCGTGCATGGGGGCTGGCGCAGCTTGGCTCGGGCGTATAGTAGAGTCTTGTACAACGTTGGCACGACATCATCCCCCCAATGTCCGTTTCCAACACATACAAACCACATGGCAGTCGCCCGGCGGATAACCATAACACGTAGGACAACCACGAGTTGTTTCCTTTTTCCCGGGCACACAACATCCTCCCCCGTGTAATTTTGTGTCCTCCCTCGTAAAATCGATGCAGATGCAATCCGCGCTGCGCTTCCTCGTCATCTCATGTAACCCTTCAATGTACGACATCGTGCCGCAGCTTCGCAGCTTGCAGGAAAAGAAAAATCGGCCAGAGAAAAAAGAAAGAAGCTTTCCGAGTAGTGTATGTGATGCACAACAAGCATCAGCCTCGTATCTTGCCGGCTATAGCAAGTCTGGAGAAATCCGGGTACAATAGGTCAGTCAATGGCTTTCATCCAACCTCACATCCGCCAACACGAAAAGAACAAATAAGCGGCGTCGTTTGAGATGAGTCAGAGTTTTCCTATCAAATGTAAAATGGTATCAGGGCCATGCCGCGTAGAAATTGAAAGGAAGATGACAAGAAAAGGAACCGTAAACGCCAGCCATGCAGCGGGCACCCGTCTCTCATGCCCCAAGGTTGATTGATACTGCATCCAAGCCCCCCCCCCCAGAAAGTCGCGAGTGGAGTGTTTGTCATGAAGAAGATATAGAAAAAAAACATGTAAAAGTAGAATGAGACAAGTCAAAAAGGCCATTACGTCTTGACAGCTTTCCACGCTGTTGCGCTCTCCATTTGCAAGCACTTTGCGCCACAAGAGTGCAAAGAAGATGCACGAAAAGGGAGCAACAAGAACCCAGAAATTTAAAAAAAAAAGCAAAGACGCTTGACATCCGGGAACCAAAAAAAAAGCGTCTAGCCAAACACCTTGAGGAACCCATACATGCCCAGACCGCTGAGGACGGGAATCGTCAGGTTGTCGTCCCAGCCAAAAATGTCCACCACCTCGCTCGCCGACGCGACGACGCCCGCGACGACGGACATGACGCCGAGCGCCAGCGAGCCCGTCACGGACCACGCGCTGCGGTCCTCGCCGACCAACGCCGCCGGCAAGGCCAGCACGTTGCGGAACAGGAAGCCGTCGTCGCCCGGCTTCGGGCCAATGGTGGGCACGAGCCAGCCGTAGAAGAAGACGGACGTGGCGACGCCGACGGCAAACGCCGCGGCGGAGCCAGCGAGCGACTTGCCGCGGCGCAGGCGCGGCGTGTAGCGGCCCCAGAGGCGGCCAAACGTGCTCGCCGCCGTGTCGCACCAGCTGAGCAGCAGCACGCTCATGACGGCGACGTCCTTGGGCAGCGCCCACAGCACCGTCCACGCGCCGAGCAGGTACCAGATGACGCCGTTGTAGCCGGCGTACTCGCTCTCGCGCATGAGCGCCCCGAGCGCGCGCACGTACAGCCGGTTGACGGGCGCGAAGCGGTGCCGCAGCAGGTCCGTCGCCGCGACGGGCACGAGCGCCGCCATGAGGTACGGCGCCACCGCGCTCGTCTGCGTGCCCGTCGTGTATAGCCAGACGACGAAGAAGCCGATGGAAACGTGCAGCGCCTTGCGCGGCACCTCGTGCTTGTGCACAAACGTCTTGAAGTGGCGGTGGATCGGGATCAGCCCGAGGGGGCTCGGGCTGCGGCTCAGGTCGCGCCAGCTCCAGCCGAAGCCGCCGCCGCCACCGGGGAGGGGAGGCGCGAGGAAGCCCCCGTTGACGGCCGCGGGGCCGGTTGTGGTGGCGGCGGCCTTGCCGTTGGGCGGTGATGTCGGCGTGGGTTCGGCAATGCGTGGTGTCATGCGCGCGAGCTTGCTGACGTCGACGGGCGACCGGCTGCGCGTGCGCGACTTGCGCTTGCCGGGGGTGCTTTCGGCCTCGGAGGAGGACGAGTCCTGGGTCGTCGTCGCCGCGGCGGTCGTCTGCGAGGGTGTGGGCGGTACGTTGCGGCGGCGCGCGCCGGAGCGCGTGCGCGGGCCCGTGTATTCCTCCTCGACGTCGTCAGAGGGCCCGGCCACGCGCGGCGGCGGCGTGTCGTTGCTGGACGCGGCGGCGGCTTTGCGGCGGAGCGACATGGTGAATGCGATGGGGGGTAGAGGAGAGCAGGCGAGGGGACCGGCGAGGATGCGTCGGAGCGAGGGAAACGTCGATGGCCAGACGAGCAGAGGGCTGGTCAATGTGAGGTTGGTGGTGGTGGTGATACTGTTGGGAGCTTGGCGCGAGGCTGGGCGCGCGTTGCGGACGTCGTGGGAGCGCAGGGCAAAGAGTGACCAAGGCGGTGCTGTCGCGTGACGAGATGTGATGTCGGGACTGACAAATGGCGTGGTGGTCGTGGCGGCGATGGCGTCTTCTCTGGTGGTCATGAGCGCCAGAGTAAAACGAGGCGGAGGAGGGCGTGGAAAGGAGGAGGAAGAGAACTTCTATTGCGATCCGCGTTGAGAGGAAGAGAGAGGTTCAAACAGGGCCAGCCGAGAAAAGTCACGAAAAAAAAAAGTCTCCAAGGCTAAAATATTGATGGCGCGAAAAAGGTCGAGAGAACGGGTTGACGGGCTTTGGGTAGCTGTGCAAAAGGTTTTCCCCTAATCCTGGCTTGGGCCACGCTCCGAAGGTACCGGATGACAGTGGAACCAGCCCGTCCCCAGCTCAGCCGAGCCTCTAGCCAAGCAAGGGTTGAGAAACATGTGACGGGGAAACTGTTGAGATGACAATTATCCAAAAAGCTGGGCTTTTTAAAATGCAGCATGAAATTGTGTAGTGTTTCAATCGCAGCTCAATGTGTCGAACCAGCCGCCTTAGATATACTTACCTCGGTATAGGTTCATCAGAGCCCAGCACTGAGTTGGAATACAGAGTACCTCTATCATGATGTATTAAGGCAGAAAGCTACTGATTAATTATTACAAAAAAAAAACCCTCAACCCCCCCGTAATCCAACAGACGAGCAGGGAAACTCTTTTCCTGCCAACTCATGGTCTTCGCCGGCCCTGCAACTCTTGAAAACTGCTGCCCTCGTGAGCATTTGCGCTTGGGTTTTCAGCTAGGGACCCTGGTGCCCAGTACGTACATTTTTTTGTCGACCCGCACGTGCTGATAAGATAAACATTTTTTGAAGATCGACAGCCGTTACAACTTTTTCTTCATCAGATCGAGCCATACTTTGGCCCTCTCACCACTGCCAATTCTCTGTTTCCCTTTTATATACGTATTCTTACCACTCGGGAACTGGGAATCATCATGGCTCCCGGCAAGGTGCTACCTAAAAAGGACCTCCGGGCCTGGGACAGACTCTCACCTGGCCTGTCGCCCTGGATCCTAGACGCCGTCTCGGCCATGGGTTTTGCGCGCATGACGCCGGTGCAGGCCGCCACCATGCCGCACTTTCTCGGCAACAAGGACGTCGTCGTCGAGGTACGACACGCGACCCCCAGCTCGCACCGCACTGTTCAGCCCGCTAACCCCCTCCCTCCCAGGCCGTCACCGGCTCCGGCAAGACGCTCGCCTTCTTGCTACCCGTCGTCCAGCGCCTCCTCCGACAAGACGAGCCCACGAAGCGGCACCACGTCGGCGCCATTATCGTCTCGCCGACGCGCGAGCTCGCCGCCCAGATCCACACCGTGCTCCTCGCCCTCCTCGAGTTCCACCCGCCCTCGGCCGAGCTCCTGCCCTACCTCGCGCAGGACGACGAGAAGCGGCCGGCGACGGCGGCGCCCGTCGTCGTGCCCCAGCTGCTGGTCGGCGGCACCACGACCGCCGCGCAGGACCTTAGCTACTTTATGCGCCACAGCCCCAACCTCCTCATCGCGTCGCCAGGCCGTCTGGTCGAGCTGCTTTCGTCGCCGCACGTGCACTGCCCGCAGTCGACGTTTGAGTCGCTCGTCCTCGACGAGGCGGACCGCCTGCTCGACCTAGGCTTCAAGCAGGACCTGCAGAGTATCCTGGCCCATCTCCCCAAGCAGCGCCGCACGGGGCTGTTTAGCGCCAGCGTAAGCGAAGCCGTCAGCGAAATCATCCGTGTCGGGTTGCGGAATCCTGTCAAGATTGAGGTCAAGGTCAAGATGAAGGACGGCGGCATCGTCGAGGACCGCAGGACACCCGCCAGTTTACAAATGACCTACATGGTCCAGCCAGCCAGTCGCATGTGGCCGGCTCTTGCGCAATTACTACAAAAACTACCAATCACACCGCAAAGAAGCATCGTCTTCTTGTCCACGTGCGCCGCCGTCGACTACTTTCAACACACACTACCCAAGATCCTCCCCAAGGGTATATCACTAGTACCGCTACATGGCAAGCATCCGGCCAACGTCCGCGAAAAGAACTTCAAGAAATTCCTCAACTCCGTATCCCCAACTCTCCTTCTCACAACCGATCTGGCCGCGCGCGGTCTCGATATCCCTCAAGTCGACCTCGTCGTCCAGGTCGATGCTCCCTCCGACCCCAAAGTCTTTATCCACCGCTGCGGCCGCGCGGGGCGTGCCGGCCGCAAAGGCCTCGCCGTCCTGATGCTGCACCCCGGCCGCGAGGAAGACTACGTACGCTTCCTCGACATCCGCAAGACGCCCATCCTCCCGCTTACGCGGCCCGCCGTGTCCGTATCCGCGTCCGACGCGCAGTCCGCGACCGAGCAGTTCCGCAGCCTGCTGCGCGACGACCGCGCTATCCACGACAAGGCGCAAAAGGCATTTGTCAGCTGGGTGCGCAGCTACAACGGGCACCAGGCGGCGTCCATTTTCCGCACCGCGGACCTCGACTGGGCGGACCTGGGCGCCGCCTGGGGCCTGCTGCGGCTGCCGCGCATGCCCGAGCTCAAGAAGTGGGAGGGCGACAAGTTGCTGGGTGTCGAGGTAGACTGGGACAACTTTGCGTACAAGGAAAAGGCCAGAGAAACGGCGCGCCAGGACGCCCTGGCCGAGGAGCGCAACGGCGCCGCGGCGAACAAGGCGGCCGAGGCGCAGAAGAAACGCAAGAGCAACGCGGCCTGGAGCGGCCGCGAGGAGCAGGCCGAGGTGCGCGAGGTGCGCAGGGAGAAACGCCAAAAGAAGCGCGATGCTGAGCGCTTGGCCAACATGACGCCCGAGGAGAAGAACCAGGACGCGGAGCTGCAGGACCTCATCCGCCAAGTGCGCGAGCAAAACCGCCTCAAGAGGGAGGCTGAGATGGCCACCAAGGTGGCGGACGAGGAGTCGTTTGAGGGATTCGATGACTAGCCATGCATATGAATAAAGAATTGTATATACCCGTGACCGGCTAGAAGTTGTGGTGATGTACACGTAGCCCGCATTCCCCTGGTGCTTGTATTGCTTGTCAAAGTGTCACCGCCGACTTTATGAGCCTCGTTTCGTAGAAGAGGCATCAGACTTTGAGGCGCGAGGCGTTTCTGCAAGTTCAAACGCCGCATCAGCAGCACGACAACGTAGCAGAAGGTTTGACTGAAGTTCCACCCGATTGACCCTTCCATATATTACAGACGAAAAAAGTATGAGATTTGGAAGTTGGCTTGTAGGCACGCCGCTCGTTGTGTTAGTCACGCCCAAGACACATATCCGGCCGGCATGACCTGTATGCAGCCCGAATTTTGAGTGGCTTTTGTTTGGATTTAAACTATAATTCTTAAATGTTCTCAAGCCTATTTTCCCCCCTCTAGCAGCGTGTTAATACGCAGTGTTGATACGCCGCAAGAGAAGGGTCCAGCACTTACAGTGGGGCAAGCCGCCATTAACATGTGTAGAGCATCAATATAGTTACATAAGATAGCAGCGTAGCTAATATAGCTTATAAAGGAATAATAGAAAGTAAAGATAATAAGGAAAATTAGCCTTATATTAAATAAAGCTATAAAAAATAACTAATTAATTTATATATCCTATTTCCTAGCCTTAAGCTATATAATTTAAGTTATAAGATAATACTATATTTTAAAATACTTAAGGTTATTATTTATTTATACTTATTATTAATATAAATAAGATAAGCTTTTTTATTAAAATAGTACTTTATATAATATATTTTTTAATTATTAAATATAAATTAATATAGAATAAAGGAAATAATTATATATAAAAAGTATAATAAAAAGTAGCTATTTATATAAAAAGGTATTTTATAAAAAGAATAGAATAGTATATTTATACTTTTCTTTAGTTTTATAAAGAGTATATTAATATACTATTTAAGTATATATTTTATAATATAAGTAATAATTTAATATAAAAATAAATAAATAATAGAATTATTATTCTTTTTAATAAGTAATTTAAAGTACTTTTTATTTTAATTAATAAATAGATTAGTATTTTTAAATATAAAAAACTACTCTTTATTATATATTATTTTTATATTCTTTATTATTTATTTACTTCTTTTTAGTTATTTACTTTTTTATTTATTAAAAATAATAATAGTTTTTTATTACTTTTTTTTTTTTTATTATTATTAATTATATTAAATTTTTAATAATAGTTTCTTTATATACTAGCTTTATAGCTATTAACTCTTCCTTTTTTACTATTATTAAGGCTTTTATCTTTACTATTATTAATAAAAAGTTCTTTAAAGAGGTAATTATATTTTTAAATACTTAAAAAAAGTCCTTTAAAAAGGTAAATATTAAAAAACCCTTTTTAAAGGCCCCTATACTTTTTACTAAATAAAAAAAGCCTTCTATAAAGGTATATAAGTTATATATTAACTTATATAAAAAAGTATAAACTTATAATAATATTATATATCCTTTTTAATATAGTTATTACTAGATTAGTATAGCTATAGTTATTCTAGCTAATAAGCTAAAGCCTTAAACCTTTATAAGCCTAGTCTTATTATTAATAATATATATACCTACTTTTATTAAGAAGGTTAATAATAAAGATATTAATAATAATAATAATAATAATAATAAAGGTATTAGTATAGCTAAGTTAGCTAAGAAGAAGGTTAAGGTTAAGAATAAGAATAAAGAGGATAAAGATAAAGAGAAAAAGAAAGAAAAGAAAAAGAAGAAAGAAGTATTTATTATACTATACTATTTTTACTATAGTACTTTTACTACTTCTATTAAGATAACTTTTATAAGTTATATAACTTAATTATAATTAGTACTTATATTAATATATATTATAAATATTTACTTTTTTACTTAAGTTAATTAAAATTAATTAATACTTTTTTAGCTTTAAACCCTTATAAAGTAATTAATAAAGGCTAATCTTAAGCTTTACTAAGTAAACCTTTACTTAGAATATATTTAATTTATATTCTTTAATAAAAGGAATAATATATATTATAACTTTATATTAATTAAAAAGATAATATACTTATAGAAATATAAAGATTATATCTATTATAATTATAAATATAAACTATA